CCTCCCTTCCATTTTCTCTAAAAAGTTAATGGAAAAAATATTTCTTCTTAAAAATAGTAAAGTAAAATAAAAAATTCCTACTTCCTAAGACAAAAATCTGGATAGATATATCTGATAATATGATTAAACATGTTTGGTAAAATATAATTTTCATGATTTTAGTTATTTTCAGAAATGATTAGAGTTACATTTTTATTTTATTTTTTAAGAGTTAAATTTTTAAATCAAAGAACACTGAGTCCTAGCTTGTTTGACTTAGTGGATAGAACATCAGCCTGCAGACTGAAGGGTCCCAGGTTTAACTCCAGTCAAGGGCATATGCCCAGGATGTGGGCTAGATCCTCAGTAGGGGGCATGCAAGAAGCAGTCGATCAATGATTCTCTCTCATCATTGATGTTTCCATCTCTCTCTCCTTCTCCCTTCATATCTGAAATCAATAAAAATATATAAAAAAGTAAAAAAAAAAAAAAAAGAACAGAGACCAATGGAGCTAAGTATTAGTAGAAATAAGGTATCAATGTGCTAAACATCAAAAATTGAAATAATATAGAATATAATGATATGTACATTTTTAATAACACATTAGCCCATTCCTTTATTTCTATGCTTTCTGAGACATTTTTTAAGTACTCTGGTTCATAAAATGATTCCAGCATCTCCACCTAGACTGTAAGTTTAAGCTAAAAGCTTTTGGTTATACTCCTAGTAGCTTAATATAAGAAGAAAAGAGCCCTAGCCAGTTTGGCTCAGTGGATAGAGTGTCGGCCTGTGGACCGAAGGGTCCTGGGTTCAATTCTGGTCAAAAGCACATGTCCGGGTTGCGGGTTCGATCCCCAAATAGGGGGCAACCAATCAATTGTATATCAATGATCCTCTCTCATCATTGATATTTCTACCGTGTTTCCCAAAAATAAGACATCCTCCGAAAATAAGACCTACTTACAGTTTCCTTCTGAGTGAAATAAAAGCCATCCCCCCGAAAATAAGCCCCCCGCCAGGCTAAACAAGAGAGATTTCGTCCACTGATTCTGAAAGAAATGGAATCACAAGAAATTCACCAGGAAATTCAGGAATTGGATTGTTATGATGATGTTCCAGAAGATGATGACATGATTGTCATCGAATAAATGAGTAAATTCTTGATACTGTAGGATTCACAGTTTGTCTGGTTTGTGTTACAACTACCATACTACCGTACCGTATACAGGTAATAAGTTTCCTTTATTTTTATTTAACAATAAATGTATACCATATTCTTCTTCATGGAAAAATAAGACATCCCCTGAAAATAAAGACCTAGCGCATCTTTGGGAGCAAATATTAATATAAGACACTGTCTTATTTTCGGGGAAACAGGGTATCTTCCTCTCATTTGCCCTTCATTGATTTCTGAGAGGAAGGGCAAATGAGAGAGAGATAGAAATGTCAATGATGAGAGAGGATTATTAATATATAAATATATATATATATATATTTTTTTTTTTAATGTAAGAAGAAAAGAGAAGCTCAGATAAAAGTAACTTTTCTAAGGTCAATGAGGAATCTGCTAGGACATTTTCACAATCTTAAGCACAGACTTACATTGACTTTATGTATAACCTCAAACTTCTTGACAGTCTTTTTCTTTTACCTGTTTTCTCCTTTTATAAGTACCTTTTGATGTCAATAAAATAGAATTTTTTATTTAAAAGGAAGCTGAGTGTTGTATCCTGTTTGTATTTTTCAACAACACATATGACAACCGTCTAAAGTAATATATACTAGTACAGTGGTCAGAAAACTCATTAGTCAACAGAGCCAATATCAACAGTATGACGACTGAAATTTCTTTTGAGAGCCAAATTTTTTAAACTTAAACTTCTTCTAACGCCACTTCTTCAAAATAGACTCGCCCAGGCTGTGGTATTTTGTGGAAGAATTAAATCAAGGGGCCAAAGAGCCGCATGTGGCTTGTGAGCTGCAGTTTGCCAATCACGGTACTAGTATATTCCAGCTTCATGTTCCACTCTATATCCTGCTCCTTAATAGCCTTAAACTCAAGTCAACTAATAGTTCCAACAATGTCAAATTTTATTAATAATAAGAAAAGTAAACAAGTCCAGAGATGTTTATTACTGAATCAACAGTACAATCAGATTTTTAAATGTTATGCTGGAGCTTTTGATTTTACCTTCCCACAGGTATGTCTCAGCTTTCATTTGGCCTCAAAGTGAAAGCAGTTATCTGTATAATTTTCCCTAGTGCCCCATCAAGGGTAATGTAATTGTACTGTTGAAAATTTGTTAGAATCCTTTGCTTTTCTTTCACAATTTAACCAACACAAAAAATTGCTTCCTAAGTGACATTAATTCCAAGCTCTGGTTCAGTGCCAAATGGAGTTAGCTCACCTGCCAATTATGTCTTGAAGTAACAACTACAAGGGACACTGAAATAAGGTAGTTTAAAAACGCAATCAGCCAGAGAGAAGGGTTTTATATCAGCAGGAAAGGGCAGGTAATCTCTTTCCTCAAGGTAAATTGACCTGGCTGCTATGTCTGCTAATCAATCCTAAATACACAGTTCCCAGGCAGGAAACCATTTCATTTGTCATTTACCGAAGGAGGCTCCCCCTTGGCTGGGTTCCAAATCAACAGGAACTCACAAATCTCTCTCTCAGACCTGTGTTTCCTGCTTCAGGCTGGTTCTGAATAGAATCAGATCCTGTGGCTAAGTAACCAATAAGTTAAGCAATCATGGAGACCAGAGGCTTATCAAGGCAAAGTTGTGATAACCTACTCTTAGCACCTTATTCTTTTCCAAAATGAGCCAACAATATCTGATATGATCATAATCCAGGGCAAAGGGCATAATGCTTCCTTGAAGAGGTGCAGAAAGAGAAGAAATCAGTTACTTAGAAAAATTCTAGAAGTTAGAACTTAATTTAAGGTGAGTTTGGGATACTTAGTTGGACTTAGTTAAGTACAAAGATATAGAAGAGCATATTACATCTTAGGCTGAGAAAGTGGAGAAGAAGTGTGAATGTTAAGTTTTTGAGACTGGAGCAAATATGTTTGTAAGGAAAGCAGAAGATAGGACATTAAGTTTCTCGCTATATAGCCTGAAAGGGGAAACTTGGGATTTAGAACAAAGCATGGATAGACAAGTATATGAATTACCTATCCTAGAAGTACTTTTTGGTTATAATGGTTGAATGAACCATTCTTAAATCTACAGATGTTAAACACAGGGGTCAGGAACTTTTTGGAGGTTTTATTCTACATCTTTGTTAATTCATTCCTCTTCAATCCAGAGAATGGGAGGACTGAGGCTACCCACACTCCATTTCTGGTCTGCTGTGGCATAACGTAACCAGACTAAGTTTATAAATAGACACAGTTGAACATGACCAAGGGAACATGACAGGCGAGAAAACAGATGGCTGGGAGAAAGAATGGCATAGGTTCTCTCTATTCATGAATACTTCTAATTTTCAGAAATCCAAGCAAGTTTTGCAAATAAGCAGAGCAGACAGTCCTCTATCTCAAAATGTCTAAATAGGTGCTTTCTTCCCATCATTTTACTTAATTTGTTCTTTAAGTCCTTTCTAATTTCAAAAAAGTCCCTTATAAAATGCAAATGCTTCCCAAAAAGGAGTTATGGTTTAAATATCAATAAACACAAATACCAAATAATTAAAACAGCGTTAGTATTCTAGAAAACATTAGAACATATTTCTCCCCCACAAAAAAGATTCTATGATCAAATACATGTGAGGAACAGCATAGTACACCTCCCTCTTGAAGATCACAATGCACATGAACATTTTAAAGGCACTAGAAGTGCAGTAGTAAAATTTTTGTTAAAAGTATTTTCAAACTTATTTAACTACCAAACTATATTTCCCCTACAGAGTACATAATAATATTCTAGAGGCCTGGTGCATGAAATTCGTGCACAGGGAGAGGGGGTGTCCCTCAGCCCAGCCTGCACCCTCTCCAATCTGGGACCCTTCAAGGGAGACTGGGCCTAAACATAGTCGGACATCCTTCTCACAATCCAGGACTGCTGGCTCCCAACTACTTGCCTGCCTACCGTCCTAATTGCCCCTAACCACTTCTGTCTGCCAGCCTGCTCACCCCCTAACCACTCCTCTGCCAGCCTCATACCTAACTGCCCCTCTGCCAGCCTATTGCCCCTAACTGCTCTCCCCTGCAGGCCTGGGTCCCTGCAACTGCCCTTTCCTGCAGGCCTGGTTACCCCCAACTTCCTCCTCTGCCAGCCTGGTCACCCCCAACTGCAGGCCTGGTCTCTCCCAACTGCCCTCCCCTGCTGGCCTGATTGCCCACAATTGCCCTCCCTTGCATTTCTGGTCCCTCCCAACTGCCCTCCCCTGCTGGCTATCTTGTGGCAGCCATCTTGTGTCCACATGGGGGAAGTCATCTTATGTGTTGGAGTGATGGTCAATTTGCATATTACTATCATATTTTATTAGGTAGGATTTTAAGATATGAGTATCTTATCCTGTGCTCCCTGCACCTAGTCTTCAACTCCCACAAATGAGTATCTTTAAGATACAGTTTAAAAAGTACAAAATTAAAACAAATCAATGACTCATAAACAGAGCAAAAATTAGAAGGGGATGTGTTACAAAGGATGAAAGGAGGTAAGAAAACAAAGACAGATCTCTTCTTTATAATCTTATTCACAAATATCATGTTATTGATTACAAATCCCTAAAGTGAGAATGCATGATCTACTCTATAATTATTTGCTCCTTTCCAAACAATATGAACTTCAGGCCCATATCTAGAGCATTATGAGTTCTTTGTCCCACTCATTCCCACACTATCACCAAAAGCAACAGAACAAAGCAGAAAGCTTAATCTATCATAGGATTTTAATGTCTCTCCCACTATGTAAAGTAGTTAGGAGTCAGAAATTAAATAATTTGATGAATGGTTGACCATCTTTACAAATAATTCTTTTTTGTGCTACTGATATCAAATATAAGTTAACTTACCAGCTCTGCAATTCAGCAAAAGCTTGTTTCATTTTCTTAAGGGAAGCATCCATCTCTTCTTTAACTACAACTCGATATCGTCCAAGAGACACTGTGCAGCGCTGGAGGTCTTTCACAGATTTTTCAATATTGGAACCTTGGGGAAAAATTTCCAAAGATTAATCTTTAAAAGTATAGGTAACTTGAAAGATGGATCTGAACACCTAAACATGTAAAATAACAAATGTGTGGACTAGGGAAGTTTCCCAAAGGCCACCCTCTTCAACAAGAAAACTAATTTAATGTTTTCACAGATTAAAATAATAATAAGCCCTAGCTGTTTTGGCTCAGTGGATAGAGCATCAGCCTGTGGAGTAAAGGATCCTGTGCTTGATTCCAGTCCAGGGCACATGCCCAGGCTGTGGACTTGATCCCCAATAGGGACATGCAGGAGGCAGCCAATCAATGACTTTCTCTCATCATTGATTTTTTTTCTCTCTCCCCCCCCACCTTCCCTTCCTCTCTGAAATCAATGAAAATATAAAAATAAAAAAATAAAAGTAATAAGTATCCTGACCATGAAGAAGTAATAGGAATTTAAATTCACCCACCTATCTAACACAAAACACACACACACACACACACACACACACACAAACACACACACACACACAATCTGAATCAATGGTTTTCAGACAGTGGATAATAGGCAGTACTTTTTCCTTAAGAAAATAGAAATTAAAAAAGTGAGGTCTATGATTGGTGCAAGAAAAGTTTTCAGGCTATAATACAAGGAGCAGAACTGGAAGTCTCCCTGATTTGAGGAGACAGAGTTGAGAATTCAGAAAGGTCAAGGTTAGAATTCTTAGGGCAGAGTACTGGAGAGGAGAGAGCTACACAAAAATGAGAGAATTGTACACAGGATTCTGAATGCATGAGTGTGAGGAAACTAAGACATGGAAAAAGCTGCTGGAAAGAAGCAGGTGGAACAATCCCCAGAGCACACCTAGGCCATGAATAGTTCATTTTCATACCAGCCAGAGTGAGGTACAAGGTAAAGCACTTGGAATTGCTTAGTAATAATGCAAAATTAGCTCTAGAATAAAGGCTGCTCCAATATAACCTAACAAAGCTTAAAAGCAAGTCTCAAACTGTTTCCAAATAATAATCCCAGAACAAATCACAAGAAGATTTTAAAAAATACAAAAATATCCAGCAATAACAAAGCAAAATTCACAATGTCTGGCATCCAAAAACAATTACTAGCCCAGGTGATTTGACTCAATAGTTGAGCTTCGATCTATGAACCAGGAGGTTACAGCACATGCCCAGGTTAATGGCTCGATCCCCAGTAGAAAGTGTGCAGGAAGCAATCGATCAATGATTCCCACTTCTTCTCCCTCTCCCTTCTACCCTGAAATCAATAAAAATATGGTATATATTTTTTTAAATTACTATTATAGAAAGCCCAAGCCAGGTGGCTCAGTTGTTTGGAGCCTTGTCCCATACACCAAAAAAGATTGTGGCTTCAATCCCAGGTTGGGATGTGTCCATTGGAGACAACCAATTGATATTTCTCTCATATATATGTTTCTCTCTGAAATAAAAAAGTGCATTTAGGAAAATAAGATAAAATATTTTACATACTCAGCACAATTTTAGCCAGTTTCTAAAGTCCTATTTAACCATTCTATACTCACCAATGTCAAAGTTATATATACAACTGTTAGTTGACATCACAGATCTTAGAAGTTTATGTGTCCAGATATAGATTTTTTTTATTTCAATTCTTCCTATCAATTTGATTTCTTTTAAAATCTACCTAAAAGTTTTCAAGCCTTGTGCCTTTATTTTATTTGACTGAATATTCTCAGACTTGCTTTTCTGCACCTAGCTGACGGTTATGTTAGAAAGATGAAAAAGGAAAACTTCCCTGATTAAATTTAGCTCATTTGGAATAAATAATTCAGTAAAGAGCTATGGGTTACAAGTGTCTTTCACATTTCTGTTTCATTTGTTTAGTGGAGTGGACCACCACGTGTGTACGTATGATACTCAAAAGGGCTATTATCTCCATCTGTTTAACTGATTATTTAAATGACTATTATAATTAAATTTAAAAAAGCAAAAAGCTACCACTAGTCAATGTTAAGCATTTAAGAGAAAATGTCCTTGTTAAAACTAGAGTCTGGCAGGTTTTAATATAAGCATAAAGTTGTGAAAAGAAATAAAAATATTTCTTTCAAATATGTCAACCAGGATATAAAAATGAAGAAAACAAGATAAAAATTTTGGAGTAAAAAAAATATATTAATGGCAGCATAAAAGTCATCCTTGTAATAGTTTGATTTTCTTTTCTTTTTTTTTTAAATTATATTTTATTGATTTTCCACAGAGAGGAAGGAAGAGGGATAGAGAGCTAGGGAGGTCGATGAGAGAGAAATATCGACCAGCTGCCTCCTGCACAACCCCTATTGGGGATGTGCCAGCAACCAATGTACATGCCCTTGACCGGAATCGAACCTGGGACCCTTCAGTCCACAGACCGACGCTCTATCCACTGAGCCAAACTGGTTTCGGCTAGAGTTTGATTTTCATTCACACACAAAAAATCCCTACTATTGTAATAAGACTGTATAGCATCTGAGCTACTGTTAGAATCCAACTCTGTACACAGGGTCAAGTAAGAACTGGATAGTCACCACCTAGAAAAGGATTACCTACAGAACTTTCTATGGGATCAGACCTCATCTATGGGAACAAAGAGGTAAAACACAGATTTTTTTTTTCTCTCTAAAAGGTAGGCTAAGCCCCTATTTACCTAGCTTTTTGTTGGTAGAGGAGAGTGGAACATCTTCCATGCCCAGTCTTGAGAGAGATTTGATAGCATTCCTGTTTTGTTGAGAATTCTGAGTAGGGTGTATAGTCAAAGTCTTGGACTCAAAATCAAAGACACCATTTTCCAGCATGGATCCTGTCAAAGAAACAGTGTTTTAGGCAAGACTTAAGAATAAATCAATCAAGCAGTCTTAAGTGTTCACAAAGAAAAAAGGTAAAAATATTTTAGGCAAAACTATATTTCTTTTAATCTCACTCACCAAAAATTATATTTCTTAAATGGCTGTGAACAAAAATCAAGCCAAATCAGCTGAATGAGGCTCTCTGGCTTAGCTCCATGCAATATCCTGAATGAAGAAGAAGTCTGTGCTAACCCATCTCTAGACAGACTAGCTTGTTCCTTGTACCTGTAGCTTCCTTGTAACTTCTGATAGCTTCTATAAATTATGTTGAGGGAAAAAGAACTTTATACTGTCCTAGGGCATGAAGAGTTTATTATAAAATCTTTAGGGAATAGAAAGGGCAGAGTTAGAAAACGAGGGACCTAGTTCAAAGAAAAATGGAGCCACTGACTATCTCTGGTTTGTTAGAGGTCACTTTAGGCAATATATTTTTCTTTGTCTTTTTGTGCTTGTGCAAACTAATCAATAAAATAACTTAAGAAAGAACAGCATAATTCTTAAACTGCCATTACATTTATAAAGCCAGAGCAACTGAGCAAGGAGAACTGGATTAACAAATAATTTAAAAAACTATTTTAAGAGATATTTCCAACACTCATCAAAATGGTTAATAAAACAAAGGAAAACATATACAATATGTAAATTTACAACTAACACTAATCTTAACTCTATTAAAAAACAAACGTGAGACTATAAAAACCAATAGTTTACTTCTGGATTTATAGTTATTATCATATATTTCTCACTGCGTTGGATCTTAGAATAATATCAACATCAATTCATTATAATAATTTTCCTTAATAAGTGAACAATTTAAAAAATCTTAAGGGCATCTTTTGTAGTCGACTGCTTTAAACTGAAATTAAAATTAAACAATGGAAAATAATTCCATTTTTCTAGGCCTTTGATAATTACAAAATGTGACTCACATGAGCAGTAACAAAAACTAAAAAGTAAGAGACTAACTAGATTTAATTTGATTGCTTTCTCAACTAGGAAGCCCCTGGCTGATAATGCAACTTTTCAAAGATCTGTTAATAAGCTTACCTGTTCTGTCCAGCATATCTGGCATGGAAGACTCGGGATCCTCTGATTCTCTGGCATCTATTGAAAGTGTCTCCATACCTTCACTGAATGAGTCCACAGACTCAGTATCATTGATGGCACCATTAACATGGTAACCATTAATATCACCTTTTTCTGGAGAAGGCGTGGACTGCTCCTCTTGAATAGAAACCAATTTACTGGAATCTAGGATACTGTTACTTGCTTCGACTGCAGGTTTTGGTTTGCTTTTCTTCTTTTTGTTCTAATGATTATTAAAGATTTGAAAAAAGAAAAGAGAAGACCCCACACACACACAGAGAGGTCACTAGCTACCCAAAGGCAACCAATGTTACCAATTTCTCATATGCTCTTCCAGAAACTGAACACATTTCTATATATGTGAAATTATTAACTAAAATAACTATGTAAAATACTTTAAATAAACTCAGACACATAAATAAGAAATTTATGCATAGCAAATATAACAAAAGCAAAAGCAAAAATTACAAAATGTAAAAAAATATGTGCAACTTATATACAAAGAGCCAAATATATTTTGAGCTCTAACAGAAACAAAACAACTGAATAGTAAAAAATGGTAAAGGATATAAGTATGTGAAATGAAATTGCAACCTCAGTAATAAGAGACATAAATTAAAACTGCACTGCAGAGGATTCTGGGAAGATGACAGAGGAGGAAGCATCAGAAATCTGTTGCCCCACCTAGCCTGCCCCAAACAGGCTCAGAACACTTACATTAGCCTACAGTTGAGCAAAATCATCTAACAGTGAATACAACGTAGAGTATCTATTGGTTGTTTACACTCATTATCAGGTGGCTGACTGGGAGCTGCAGCTGTCCAGCAACATGAATAAGTGTCACACTACATATTGCTAGCCTGGGAAAAGATAAAAGTTCAAAGTCTGCTTTCTACTGAATGCTACTGCTTTTCCACCATTGCAAAGTCAAAAATTCTTAAGTCAAACCATTTTAAGTTGGGGTCGTCTGTATAACATACTGTCCTAGGACATGAAGAGTTTTGATAGGATGCAGCGAAAGCGGTGCCAAGAGAAAATTTATAGTTATAAATGCTTACATTAAAACCAAGAGTCCTAGTTGATTTGGCTCAGGATAGAGCCACAGCCTCTAGGACAGAAGGATCCTGGGATAGACTCGGGTTAAGGACATGTACTTTGTACCAGACCCAGTAGAGGGCGCGCTCAGAAGGCAGCCAATCAATGTGTTTTTGTCACATTGATGTTTCTCTGTCTCTCCTCCTCCCTTCTACTCTCTCTAAAAATCAATGGAAAAATACCCTCAGGTGAGGATTAACAAAATAAAGTAATAAAAAAAAAAGCAATCAAAGAAATTATATATATTTATATTTGCTCATCTATGCATAAAATCCTGGAAGATAAACAAGAAATTGATAATACTGTTTATTTCTGGGGTGGGGAACCAAATGGCTGGGGAACAGGGATAGGATAAAGATGTTTCAGTTTATGTATTAATTTCTGTAGCTTTGAATTTGGAGCCACATGAATATATTACCTAGGCAAATAGTCAAATTAAAACAAACAAAAAAAAGATCTTTACCTTTTATTTTGACAAGTTACAGCTCTACTACCAATAGTTAATTCTATTCCTAAGGCTGTACTGACATGACTGATTCAGTTTTCCCCCAAACCCTTCTCATGACCCTAACAGGAACACTACTGGAACTCTAGAGATAACTTTTTCCTCTTCACAGCTCTCATCTTTTTTCCTTTTAAAAATTTTCTCTCATGTGAACTAGGTAAGTTTTCATATCACTGTCCCATGTAACTGCTCACAGTAATATCCTATTGAACCAATCTCAACAGTTAACTGGACTGGGCTTGGGCATCTGGGACTGCCAAACTGAAGCCATTTTTCTTTCTCTAAATTTAAAGAAACTTATGTGTCTCTAACATATACTTTTCCAGCTGCAAGCATATGTTACATCACTAAATAGCTTACTATTCTGAATCAATAAATTAATAAACTGGTGTTTCCAGAGCATACAGAGCTATTTATGCTAGGTGAAAGCAATAAGTTAAGCAAATATTCAAAGTTCTAGGTATGGAGAGCTTCAGGGGAATCTGTAGTAATATTAGGTTCTCTTTGGAAAAAACTCTCAAGGGTCCCTCTCAAGCCTGGTTTGGTCAAGACTTAATAGATGCCTTAATGAAGTGATTTAGAGTCATCAAGAAAGCATTTCAAAACTCTAGTACTAACCTGACATAAGAAAAGAATTTTCCAAAAGCTTTCATAGAGCTTCCTGATTAAAATCTATACTTCAAGCATTTCCTAAAGAAGCAAATGCTGTGGAAGCATTTTGAGACCAGCTAGTATCCTTTGGGGAAAGCATTTTGGTTTCAAGTGGACAAAGTGAAGGAAATGAGAACTAGTACGTTAGAAATTAGGTATTAGTATTTATTATTATTACTTTCCTATTTCAGAGGTGAGCAAACTAAGGCGCATAAGGTTATATAATTCCCCAGGTTGTAAAGCCCATAAGTAGAACAGGATATAAATCCTGTTCTGATCAATTCCACAGCCTAAGTGCCTTTTCCTCTCTAAATTGGAACACCAGACCCCGATGTATAATTAATATAGCAAAGAACCTCTTTGGGCTTAAGGTCAACGCTCATTAATACCAGAGATTACAACATAGTTGTCTGACCTAGAAACCTAAACTATTTTAACTGATATATGTTAAGAATAATGTTGAAATCACTGGACCAGATCACTTTCTCTAGTGGAGCTCTGCTTTCCTTGCCATGCTCTCTTGTTTCATTCCTGTATAGTATTAATACATCTTCAGCAACTCCACCTTAGCAGTGTCATTGTTTCCTGTCTTAAATCACATGGAGGAAGGATATTGTACGGTACTCTATGTACACAGCTGTGTTTCAATGTCACAGAAGACTTTTTTAAAACAGGTGAACTGAAGATGCTTATGTAAATATTTTCTTTCAAATATTTTTGCAGAGCCTAAATATTTTTATAATATCAACATCATGCTTTTAAATTTCATTCATTTTACCTTTTTCTTGCCTGTTACTGTCCATTCTTTGAGTACTTCATTGGCACTACCTGTAAGAGAAACCAATCACAGATTTTCTCTCTTAGCACATGCATGGTCAAGAAGAAATAGGTGTCTTTGCATTTTGTAAATGCTAGAGAATTTCTAAAATTTTAACAGGAAAGTTAAGGTTCAAGTCTCTGAGCTAATGAAATGAGATAATCATATCATACTTATCTTTTGCAATACCCGCCCTTTTAGATTCCCTTTCTCCATGCCATTTTCTCAGTAAGTTCTCCCAAGAAAAGACTAATGTAGCCTGACAATTTTGAAATTCTTTTATATAACTCAGACCAAATACAAAGATGAGTGGTTTCAATCCAAAAATACTATCTCCTCTCCTCCAGAAAATGACACACCACTTTGGCTATGTTCTTTTAGAGAGCTGTACACTACCCTAGACCAGTGGTCGGCAAACTGCGGTTCGCAAGCCACATGCCTCAGTCAGATCGAGGACATTTTTAGCAAAGGCCAGCTTAGGAGTACCCTAATTATGTTAATAAAAATGTACCTACCTATATAGTTTAAGTTTAAAAAACTTGACTCTCAAAAGAAATTTCAATCATTGTATTGTTGATATTTGGCTCTGTTGATTGAGTTTGCCGACCACTGCCCTAGACCTAAATGCTAACATTATAAAGAAAACAGATGACAATGAAAAAAAAAACCGTATAGTATTTCGGCCTGTTTATTCTATACTGGCAGAAAAACAGTAACAGGGAGCCCTAATCTGATGTACTACACAATGATAAGATATCTTTTTTAAATGGCATGATATGTTATATTATGAGGTCTACTATATCACCTATGAAATACCAGGTTTTTAAATGGATGTTAAAGAAGTTTAAAGCAACTTCTATTTGAACAAACACAAATTTATTTAAAAAACTAAACTAGGATTACCTTCCATAAATGCTTGTACTGTTTTGTCCACACAATTATCAAAGTGCTGCAAAACCAGGATGATTTCATTGTTGCTCTTATTGGGAACTATTGCACGCACTGCATTTATCTGGAAAAGATGACAGGGTCATTAAATTTTAACATCAGTAGGTCAGTTGGCAACTGAGACCTATTACAGAATGACATTTCATTCTTAATAATATGTATCACTCTTTAGTGTCAGTGAGAGTACATACAACCATCTCACTAGGAATGATTAATAGATGAGTGATAGCATCACATAAAAATTAATTTCAAAATTTAGAAAAGCAGAACATTTCTAAAAATAGAAGGTATATGCTAGATTTTGCTCAAAGAAAAGAAGGTCTAATTTAGATATCAAGTATTCATTTTAGCATTAACCCTTCCTCATTTTTAGCATACTGTAGAGGAAGGTGGCAAGTTTAATGAACCATCACCAATAAGAACTTAGGTTTTTATACAGTATTTTTGAAACATTTTATTTCGTACATTAATTGTATAACACTATAAAGATAATTTAAATTACTATAAACTATTTCAGGCATACAAAGAATAATGAGCACTCACTGTGTGACAGTCAGTTTACTAAAATAAAACAATGTAATTGAAGCTCCCATGAAATCCCTCATAAATCCCATTTCCCTCCTCGACACAGAAATTACTACCTTCAATTTTATACTATTTCAATACATGTTTTTGAACTTTTACAATGCATGTATGTATCACAGGTAATACATACTGTTTTGCATTATGAAAGTATTATCATACCATATGTCTATATTCAATTTGCTTTTTTCATATAATAGGTTTTTTTTGTGTGTGTGTGTGTGTGTGTTTTCATGTTGATAAATGCATCTTATTTAACTGCTACCCAGAATTTCCATTGTATTAATATAATTAATTTATTTATTCTCCGGTTAAAGACACGTTGTTTTCAATGTTTGGCTATAATGAAAACTGCTGAAATTCTTAGGCTTATTTGCTGCTGAATCTTCAATGCCTAAAATAATGTTTAGCATATTTTAAGAAAAAATATCAGGTCTTCTGTGAACAGTGAATGTCTCTTTTATATATAACCAGTAGTAGTATTACTGAATAGTAGGGTATGTACAAATTAGATAATGCTAAATTGTTCTTTAAAATAGGTATGTCAATTTTGTCAGATATATTCCCAAGGTATCTTATTTTTGGAGATTAAAAATATATAATTTACAATAATTGTTTGTTTTTAGTTTTATATATAAATAATTCCTATCCAGCAATCTTGGTGAAATCTTATTAGTTCTAACAATTTGTTGCTTTCTTGGTTTTTCTATGTAAACTGGGTTGTCTATAAATAATAGCAGTTTTTTTCTTCCTTTTCAATCCTTATAATTTTAATTTCTTTCTTACTGCACAATTTAAAATTAGTTTTTTCTTAAAATGACCTAGTTCTTTTTGGTAGGGAGTGGTAGTTAAAAACCAAGATCTAAGAACTAGGTGTGTTCTGGGAAGTCATTTATTTCTAGATTCTTTCACTGGATAGAACTAGAAGCTTTGTTGTTTACAGTATGAGTTCCTATTGACATCTTCAATTCAAATATAATATTAAAAGGCATTTTCTCATGCTTTTAAACATATCTTTTTTCCAAACTAAAAGTTTTAGCTCCTAAAAATGTTAAGTAATTTACTAATTTGCTTTATTCTGTAATATTCATAAAATAATATTATTAATAACATTATGATATATTACTACTAATGATAAAACATTTCATAAAATTTAAGGTTTACTTGCAATTCTTTTTGTCCTTTAAATATATTACTCTAGACATGTACAATAAGAACACTGTGTTCAAAAGTCACAAGAAAATGTGTTCTAGTTCACCATTTCCATGAAGGTAAAATATTTTTAGGGCCTCATCTTTTATAAGACCTCAGCTCCAATTCCTAACCAAGGACAAACCTTGAGCTTTAGGGCCCTATGTGGTGAGACTCATTTGTTATGAAGACTGGCAAACCACATTGCTCTATACACTTAGCCCCTAGGGATTTTCCTAACCTCTATTCAGCTATATATTTAAAACTATGTATATTATTTTTCATTCTATATTTCTTGGTATTTCATATTATGAATGCTTTCAAGTTATCTAGTCAGCAATACTGCTTGAAAAGAGTCCGTTTATAGATGAGAAGAGGTATCTTGTCCAAGAAATAAGCAGAGTCTATATTAGAACCTGTCTTTTTTAGAACATTTGCTTTTATTTATTTATTTATTTTTATTTATTTTTATTACATTTGCTATTAGATCTTTCTATACTTTTATTGTTTCAGGCTAAATTAATGATAAGGTTTAAAACCATATAAGTGGAAAGGTATATAATCTATAATCCAAAGAGAGATTATTTATAATTATACATTTTTGAGATAAACAAAATTCTTAGCACTAATTACTAGAAAATGGACTTTAGGCAAAATTTACAAATTCAGCAATAAAGGTAAGATTCTGGTAACTTACAATGTGAAAGTGTGTATATTCTTGAAATAATATATATCTCTTACTCCATAATCAACAATAAACTTTTTTTTAATAAAAGTTTTTTTGAGAGCACATAAAGCTTTTGTTTTATGTTTTTCTCAGTATAGCTCATTCAGGGTTATATTACTAAAAACACCTAGTTTTCTTACAAAGGAATGTTACTTGGAAGATCTATTTCTCATCTTACTCTGAAATCTCCTGAACTTCAGAATGAGGGGAAAAGGAGACATATGCACTACTATTAGTAATACTTTAAATAATTAAAAAAAGAATCCTCTTCAAGTGAATGGAAAGATCCTACTCAGTTTGTTCCTTAAAAGATGTTACCAGCCCTAGCCGTTTGGCTCAGTGGGGATAGAGCATCAGCCTGCAGACTGAAGGGTCCCAGGTTCAATTCCTGTCAAGGCACATGCCCAGGTTGCAAGCTCGATCCCAAGTAGGGGGGCGTGCAGGAGGCAGCTGATCAATGATTCTCTCTCATCGTTGATGTTTCTGTCTCTCCCTCTTCCTTTCTCTCTGAAATCAATAAAAATATTTTTAAAATGTTGCCAAATGAGATTCACTTAGCCATATAAGTATTATAATATTAATTAATATTAAGGTGTCTTCAAAATAATTTAGAATGAATATATAGGGAGATATGCAAAAAAATGTTTGCACTTAACAGGCTGATTCTTCAAAACCTTCATGGTAGTTATGCTATGATAGACAATGGTATTGTTTTGTTCTTAAAGTTTCACTTTCCTTAATGAGTTTGTGTAACCACTGACTATATTAGTAACTAAGTTTTATTATGACATTCAAGTTTACTATCCACACAGTGATTTTCAACCTTTCCATTTCATGATACACATAAACCAATTACTAATATTCTGTGGTACACCAAAAAAATATACTATATTTTTTGTCAATGTGACAAAAATAAAATTGGTATAATTTTGATTCATTTACACTGGACGACTGTGTTGGCTGTTATTTTTTTTACTTGATTATCTAAGGAAAAAGAGATCAGTGTCAGTAAATAGTCAGGTACTGCATGTTTTTTTTTTTTGTGTGTGTGTGTTTTTTAAACATTTTATTGATTTTTTACAGAGGAAGGGAGAAGGATAGAGAGCCAGAAACATCGATGAGAGAGAAACATCGATCAACTGCCTCCTGCACACCCCCCACTGGGGATGTGCCCGCAACCAAGATACATGCTCTTGACAGGAGTCGAATCCGGGACCCTTGAGTCCACAGGCTGTCGCTCTATCCAAACCGGTTAGGGCAGGTACTGCATGTTTTAAAAATTCTTGCAGCACACTGGTTGAAAATTGCTGATCTGCCCAGCCAGTGGCTCAGTGGTTGAGCGTTGATCTATAAACCAGGAGGTCATGGTTTGATTTTGGTCAGGGCATGTGCCCGGGTTGTAGGCTCTGCAGGAGGAGGCCAATCAATGATTCTCTATCATTAATGTTTTTCTCTCTCTCTCTCTCCCCTCCTTCCCTCCTTCTCTTTCTCTCTCTTCCTGAAATCAATAAAAATATTTTTTTAAAGAAAATTCCTCATCCACATACAGTAACTAATCATACCTTTTCTTTCATGTTTTCAAAAGTTCCTCCCTGGGCCAGTACAGTATTGGACTGCAAATCAAAAATGAACCCTGATGAATCTGAAAGAACAAGAAGGAAAAATATATTCAACAATATCTAAAACTGACATGTGATCATCTCCCAAATAGAAGGGCCTTAAACAGTTAACAACTTATGTACTTTGCAAACTCTATTATATAGATAACTGATAACTACATTTGAATTAAAATTATAGAAATGAAGTTTTATTTTAATAGAAATTGTAACAACTTAAGAAAAACACTAAATACATCAACTTTATTAAACTGTCCAGTAATCCTTGTTATCTTTGTTAACTATCTTAATTTAAAAGGCCCTCTATAAATGTTGCAAGTCAATGGCTCCCCAAGGTAAAATTTAACACTAACTAATCAAAAAATATGAGTGAGGATGAGAGCTCCTATGGCATTAACAATAACAACACATGAATACCAGTAATTTCAATTTTCTAGAATGTACCACACACATCATGTTTTTAGACTATGAATTCCATGAATACATTCCTCAGTCTAATGCTTGACGAAGCAATGTACTTGAATTTACATTACCAGCACAACTCAGGAAAACTTAAGCTTAATGTGATTTATTACAGAAGAGAGTTTGGCTTCCCTATACTTGTAAAAAAAAAGGCTATCTGCAAATTTAATCCACTTCTTTACCTGAAACTATGTAATCAATAAATTACCTCCACTTTAAGCACTTAAAAACTTTGTTTTAATCTAATGAGATGCAATCTGGGGAAATCTGTTTCTCAGATTATGATGTGTATAACTTATCTGGGACATTTTTGCTTAAAATGTAGATACTGATTTAGTAGGCTAGCCTGTGGCCTAAGATTGTTACTCCCTGGTGGATCAACATTTTTAATCCAAGCACCATACTTGGGAGTAGTTTGGGGTTTAGAATTTCAACAAAGCAAGGAAAAGATAAAGTTTTGAAAAAAGGGGTTGCTATGGTCTGAATGTTTGTACACCCCCTCCCCCATTTATATGTTGAGATTCTAAAGTGATGGTATTAGTGATTGGGGCCCCTGCAAGGTAAATAAATCATGAGTGGAGCCGACATGAATAGGATTAGTGCTCTTATAAAGCTGACTGCACGCAGCTCCCTAGCCCCTGCCACCATGTTAAAACACAAGAAGTCTGCCAATGGGAAGAGGGCCCTCCCCCAACCATTTGACACTCTGATCTCAGACTTCCAGCCTTTAGAACTGTGAGAAATTAATTTATGATGTTTATAAGCCATCCACTTTGTTATAGTAACCTGAAGGGACAGGGGTTTTAAAAAATACAGCAATATTCTAGTACATTCTCAAAATTATTTTTCTATTATAACAGATGTATTTCAATTAAAGCCTCTTTTACAGCTCAGTCTTTATCCTGTGTTTTCAAATACTTCCTGGTTGCTATGGAAGATTGATAAGTTAAAATGATAACACATTTTGGCAATAAAAGTGGAAAAGAGGATATAAATACAATGTATGTCATTCCAAGAGAAACTATGCTTGCTAATTACTAATGAACCATGAATTCATTTATAGTTAACCTCTCTGTAATACTAGCAGTTTTGAGACTATTAACAAATAAAAAAATCAGACTGCACTTACCCAAACTCAGTATTTAAGACTTAGTTTTTCAGATGACTACATAATATGATTAATCCCCAATTATCTATAATAATAAAAGTGTAATGTTGCCGGGACCAGTTTGGCTCAGTGGATAGAGCGTCGGCCTGCGAACTGAAGGGTCTCGGGTTTGATTCCAGTCAAGGGCATGTACCTTGGTTGCAGGCACATCCCCAGTAGGGGGTGTGCAAGAGGCAGCTGATCGACGATTCTCTCTCATCGATGTTTCTAACTCTCTATCCCTCTCTCTTCCTCTCTGTGAAAAATCAATAAAATAAAATTTAAAAAGTGTAATGTTAATTAGACCAGACAGTCGAACGACCTTCCAGATATCATTCTGGACAAAGCCGTGGCAGCGGGGGCCAAGGCAGAGGTAGTAAGGGGCAATCAGGCAGGCAAGTATGCAGAAGGATTAGGGCGATCAGGCAGCCAGGCAGGCAGAGTGGTTAGGGGAGACCAGGCAGGCAGAGTGGTTAGGGGCAATCAGGCAGGCAGGCAGAGTGGTTAGGGGCAATCAGGCAGAAGTCCCAAATTGTGAGAGGATGCAGGCCAGGCTGAAGGACCCCTTCCACCCCCATGCATGAATTTTGTGCACCAGGTCTCTAGTACATAGGATGAAAATCCTATATAATCAAAATACTATCCAACAATCTTCTCAGAATTGCTGTAGGTCAGCCAAATGATATATTAATGAGCAGTGAGATGATACCTTGGAATTCAAACCACCAATCTTTTTTAGGGAAAAGAGGAGACACAAAGTAAAGCAACTTTTCAGTGTCTATTTTAAAATGAACTATTACTAGCTTCTTATACATCATCTAAAACTTTATTTTTTTCTTTAGATGAAACAAACTGCAAGGAAAACAAGAATAGTTCTGCAAACACTTTCAGTTGTTATCCCCTCAAAATTAGCACAGTATTATTAGGGTTTATCTGGCATACCAATTAGGATAATGGTTAAAAATACATAGGGTAGCTATTTTAGTCAGGATCCCAGCATGAAACAAATGGCACACTCAAATCAGGATAATTGAGGAAAGTTGTTTAAAAAAAAAAAGACTATTTTAGAAGGTGCTAGTAGGGTGTAGGGAAACTACAAGATGTAGTACAGTTATCCCTTGGCTAATAACAGCAATATGCATTGCTATCCTGAGTTTTGAAGAGGCATAAGGAGATAGCAATTACTGGAACCCAAAGACAGAAAGCTTTTTCACTTTTGTTTCATCTGATGTAGTAAGGGCCATAGGACAGTAGCTATAACCTTTGGTCAAAGGTCACAGTAAGCCCACATTGACCCCTCAGGGAAAGATTGAGGAAATAAACATCCCTACCTCACTCTTCTTGCCTCAATGTTACCCAATAGCTAAACCCAACCAGAAGCCAGAGGGCAAGAGAACCATTAAGGGAGCATTTATCTTTTCAATCAGAGTTCACCAAAAAGGGAAAACAATAGTTTAACAACTTAACTTGTTTATTCATCAGTTATATTGTCTCTTAAAATCAAGTACATTCATATCTTGTATCCAATGAATACAAAAGCTTGTGTCTTTCAACATTACAGAGAAAGTTATTTTTAATTCCCATCAACAATATTTAATGATTTAACAATTCTCTTATTTTTACATTAAAGAAAGCCCAAGATTTATTTAACTTCATTAGTAAGAACTGTAATGTTGTTTTAAAAAAACACAACTCAAATTTTGTATTAGCAGCATTAGTACGTGTTCTCTGCTGTTTTAGATCATCTTTGAGCTAGCTTCATTTAAAAAACTTTGTATGTAGTCCCAGGGATTACATGAATTCAAAGTTTCTTTGAAAATTATGAAGCCACATACGGATTATTTTGCTATCTATTTACAGCCAACATTCAGGCTTTTTTCTTTATGGAAAGGGGCACTAAAATAGAATAAAAATTAAAATATTTAGTTAAGTATTTATTTATTTCCAAGTAATGAGAAGGACTAATTTGAGTTTTGCCTTTCTAATTGTTAATCTCTCCTTTTCTTTAGGGAAAGGTAAAGATAAATTATGATGTGGCTAAAAGATGAATAGCCAATAAAAAATAGGGAGGAGGAAAGAAATCAAGAAACATGAATGATCTAAAAGCTAGATAATCAGTATGCAAATAAACCACATCTTATAAAATGCCTCTATGTGAGCTGGTCAATTAAGTCTGAAGAAAAACATTGTTTCAGCTACTAAGGGCCTATTTCAATCTCTCTCATAAGTCATACCCTCATTTTTAAATTTCACTTGCATTTCTCTATTTAATGGGATCTTCTATTTTATGAGATTGTTATTCTTGGATGTTATTGCAACTTATGGCATACTTCTGGGCTTAGATGGATTAGGTGAATTGAACATATTTTTTAAAAAATTATTTCCTACTCCTCAGTGTACTTCATATTCTCAAGAATTCTACCAGCTATTCCAGAACTCAATTCCCTAAGTAAAAATAATAATAATAATAATAAAATTAAAAAATATATATATATAAAATATTTAAGAATTATAATATTTAAAAGTAAAACAGCCCTAGACTGTTTGGCTCAATCCGAGTGCAGAAGGTAGCCAATCAATGTGTCTCTTTTACATTGATGCTTCTCTCTTTCTGTCTCCCCCGCCACCTCCCCGCCACTTCCATTCTCACTGAAAAGCAATGGAAAAAAATATCCTCGAGTGAGGATTATTACCACTCCCCCCAAAAAGTTTAAAAAGTCAAATAAATCTTCAATTACTAAGACTAGTACAGACTAATGGTAGAATTTTTGAGAATCTGAAGGAGAGAGAGGAAATCACCTTTTTAAAACTGAATGATAGATGTGAGATATTTCCTTATCATTGTAAAAGACTTCGCTCTGGATGTTCCTTCTAGCCCTGTCAAATAGTCAATGCCGTCCCTCTCCACCCCATCCTATCCCCTTGCTTCAAAGTATAGAAATTCAGTACGCACAATATTAAATATATAAGGTCTTAATAATCCACATGGGTTTGATTATATAAATTAATAAAGTATTCTCTAAATAATGAGGGGGGAGTACAGAAATGAACAAGTCAGTTTTAAAAATCACATGCTTCTGTCTCCAACAAAAACATCCTTCTCATAAAACCACAGCACTGCAAAATCTTACCCTTCACTCATTAACATCATGCAAATAAGAATTAAATCTATTAGATTCTTCTTTCTTAAATTGACTTATGGATCAATAATTTATTTTCATTATAAACATTTCTATTTCCAAATAGTTGTTATAATTATCACAAGATGAACCCTAGCTTTATTTTCTTTTTTAAGAATATATTTTTCTTGATTTCAGAGAAGAAGAGGGAGAGAAATAGAAACATCAATGATGAGAATCATTGATTGGCTGTCTGACCCACACTGGGGAAAGAGCCCGTAACCCGGGCATGTGCCCT